AAGAACAAAAGATGCAATGTAAAACCCTAATGTATATAAATGATAACAAAAAAAATGAAGAAAAAACTTAAGTCACACGTGATTCTGCAAATTATAATATGACTTTTTCACCAAAAACGTTACAGTATTTTTCTGTAAAACGATATTAAAAATGCCAAAATTAAAAGTTAAAATGATATCCACTATGTATTGTAAGGAAACTTACTGTTAACCAATTAACAGGTTTTACTGTAGCATTTATACACCTTCAAAATTATAATATTTTACAGTGAATAAGTCTTCTAAGGTCATAATCTTTTTTAAAAAATCTTTTTTGAAGCTGTAAAAACAACATAAATTACTGAAGTACAAGAAAACACTCTTTTAGTCTTTCTACTTCAAATTGTCATGTTTAATTCAATGTGTTACTTGCATTTCTTTGTCATTATTTGTGAAATTTACACCAAAATTATTTCTGTATATGACGTTTTCTATGAAAATCAGGTGCAAGTTTACACACCTGTTTACTGTCACTGTATGGAAAAGAGCAGCGTGAACATTGTGCTAAACATCTCCTTTTGTGTTCACCGGGAAGAAAGAAAGTCATACAGATTTGGAACAACATTTTGAGAGGCAATTTACATTTTGTGAGCTAAAACTTGCACTTAATGACAAAGACGTCGGATGATTTGTCATGCAAAGTGAACTTCAGTCTCCGTGTGCTTTTGAAAGACTCTATAAAACTAATCAGAAAACCTCCAACCCGGCAGCGGCCCTCAATAATGACTGATTAACGGCTGCGTTCACATTGACCGAATATAAAGACTTCTCCAAAGCTATCGGTAAATAGAATGAAATTAACAAAGGCCCCCAAAACTAATTAAACATTTAAAGAAATTATTTGCTGATTAAGGGGTTTCTGCTACAATCCCGAATACACTTTGTCCTTTTCACAGCCACCGTAATGTGGCATTAAATTGAGTTGAGATTTATTTTGGCGCTTCAATTAGACATTTCTTTTACCCTTTATAATTAAATGTGCCATGCTTAACCGGCCACAAAGGAGAGAAACATTTTAGAGGCGTTTGGCTCTGACAGCGAGTAGAATTGAGACAAAGAAGCATTCACGTAACGAGACCATCAGAGCGCCAGTCGCCAGGGTTTTTTTGCCAAATCTCTGGCCCTTACTGATAGTCTGTATTTAACAGCTAAAAAAAAAATTTAATTTTTAATTAATTTCCCCCCAAAATGTGTTTGCAATGGCTAAAGCAAATTTTGAATTATCACCATAAACCATATGGAACTCCTTCAATTTTCATTACAAATTATACATATTTTTTTATATAAATGTAATTAGTTTAATTAAATTTATATTTGTTTATAATGTATTTAAATATATTAGTATTGGAATTAATATTCATTTAGATTAATATTAATTAATATAAATATATTGTTTATATTTTACTTTTATAAAATATATTATTATAAATATATTTTTATTTATTTTTTTATTTATATTAATTTCCCCTTTTTTCTTTTTCAGTGCTTACATCGAATGTTGAATTATCATCATGAACTATAGATATGAAATTCCTTCTGTTTTCATTACAAATTATTATGTGTTTATTAATTCAATTAATACATATTCATTACATTTTTTTACTTCATAATGTATTTTTATTGTGCATACATAATGCATGTCCATTTTGCATGTTTCATTATCCAAAGATGTAGAAATGTAATTGAGTCATATCGTCTAGCTCTGCTGTCTAGAGTCTCCTCACTATTTTGCATGTCGCTGTGCTGTTTTTCAGGTGTCATTGCCGTCGTGATATTTGTGAGTCTGGCCGCGCTGGCTGTGATGGCACGATTCCTGTACCGGCGGAAAGAAACGTTTCAGCCCCAAGAGCCCAAAGCGGGAAAAACAGATGACAGTCCTCAAACGCCCTTTAACACGGATCCAAACTCACAGAGCATTGTCAGTGATTACCAAAAAGAATATTTCATATGACGCTCTTTTACCTCGTATCGGACTAATCCAGTTAAACCGACGAACTGAAATGCCTTGTCGAGTCTAGGGACATTAACATTCACGGTGCATTATGGGGAACCGTCCGAGAGACTGGGGCTGCTGAAGAGGAGCGACGTGTCCCTAAGTTTTTGCCCTTTTTGTACATAAAACAGTTATTGTCCAGAGATCTGGCACAATAGTACGGTTTCTAAGGTGTGTATAATGACATTCATTGGTTGTAAATATTCTTTTGAAATGAAACTTTGTAACGTCACCTTCTCCTTTTGCCTTTGAATGATTCAGTGCTCAGTATTACGTTTAACGGAGTTAAAGAAGTGATCATTGTATAGCTAAATCAAAATAAATGTGTGAGTTGGCGAGTGCGATGTTGTTGTGAATACATGCGTTCGTGCAAAAGACTTCAGATTTTGCAGAAAAGGCTGTACGCTCCATATTTATCACTCTTTGCCCGTGCTTTTTGTCAATGATTTGCTACTTGGAACAAAAATACATCCTATGACAGTTGTTTATTGTGGACTACTTGTGTCTCTGGTCTTTTTTGTCTCTTAATAACATGAAAGTTGTTTTCGCTACCCATTTATTTACATATTTACATTCCATTTTACAAGTAAAAAAATTGGGTCAAAACAGGATAAAGAAAGTGCATTTTGAACATGAACATGAAAAATTAACATTTGCTGAAAATGTCCTCACTCTTAGGCCATGCAAGAAGTAGATGAGTTTGTTTCTTCATCAGATCTGGAGAAATGTAGCACTGCATCAGTGTCTCAGCAATGGATGCTCTGCAGTGAATGGGTGCCGTCAGAATGAGAGTCCAAACAGCTGATAAAAACATCACAATAATCCACAAGTAATCCACACCACCTCAATCCATCAGTTAACATCTTATTAGAAACAAATCTATCATCAAGATGTTTTAACCTTAAACTCTCACTTATAGACTAAATACGAGTCCATAATCCATAATAACGCTTCCTCCAGTGAAAAAGTGATCTGGTCTGAATCGGGAGAGAAATCTGCACAGATCAAGCACCGTTTACAAGCTAAAACAGCTCTAAACAAATACTGTATGTGGGTGGATTTTGGAGTGAGAGACAACAGGAGATGGACTTTTCCACTGGAGGAAGCGTTATTATGGATTATGGACTCGTTTTTTTTAGCCAGAAGAAAATGTTTGAAGTTAACAATCCATTATATCTTAATGATGGATTTGTTTCTTACAAACATGCAGCTTTTACGTGTGTGTGTGTGTGTATACTGTATATTCTGGGCACATGAGCTGTTATCTGCAGTTCATCTTGTATTATTTAAGAAATCATTTATTTATCACCCTCTGAAAACACACACGTTTGTATATTGATTTGAGAATCTATACATCCATTAGGACAAGAACTTTACTAGCCGAAGAAGAAGAAGAAGATTGTTAATATCCTGCTATGCACAAAGGATTATTAACAATTCATCAGCAAACTCAATAACGCAGTCTCGGCTTTGTCTTGTTAGTTACAGACAGCATGAGGAGAAACATGTGTCTCCTGAGCTGTTTGTTTACTTCTATGACACTAATACTGATCAAATCTTTTATTTTCAAATGTCATATTTCAGCTGTGAGCTGAGGGTCACCTTTCCTGAGAGACTCATGTGTGGGTGTGTGCATGGGTAGGTGTGTGTGTGTGTGTGTGTGTGTGTGTGTGTGTGTGTGTGTGTGTGTGTGTTTTCT